ACACAGTATATATAAACTGTTCATCGATTGTGGTTCTATAAGTTTCAAGCACGGACATGGCGGAGGGCTAATGTACACGGTTATGATGATTGAGGGCTATAAGCGGCCGTCGGATTAGGTCCTCATGCATAGCTGAGATTTTTGACCAGCACCACAAAAAGGCCAAGACCCAGCAGTTAGGGTAAAAAGCCAAAGTAAGTGAAAAATCGTAGAGTTATGAGTACGGTGGGACGCTGTCTGCCATTGGATTAGGTTAATATGCATGGTTGAAGCCCCTTAACCAGCGCCGCGCGTAGTCTTGTGCGCAAGTGTCTCGATGAGGTAGACGTAAACTCGTACAATTATTATATTAAAGAGCAAACCAAGCCTCATTCTGGTGTGCGGTTGCGTTCTATGATTTTAGTTAACCGATATGCTTAATAATTTCCAATGGAAGATATGTCGTTGTGCCGGTAATCCACACAAGGCATATGAAAACACAGCAGTACCCGCTGACCGGTGGTGAATTTCTGAGAATGAGGATCATCCACAGAGGAGCATATGACCCCTTTACTCACCAGTGCATCAAGTGGTGTTCAGCTGGTTATCTTGAAGTGGTCTGGCTACCCAATAATTTAGTTTACCAGGAGTGTGTGGCAAAGAGATAAAAATAATTACGCTAGGTTGGGTCAGCGAATAAACAATAATCCAATTATGTTGGTCCAGAGGTCTTCTGAACAGTTCCCACATATAATAGATTCCGAAGATGTCTGAAATGTTTTGGTACCAGAGTTAGTACATGAGACTCGCGAATGACCGCTGCAAGCGCGAGCGAAACCAGAAGAGAGAGTCGAAGCACGTGACAACGCTTGTATTATGTGAACTTGTACAAGTGCGCGTTTTTGTCGCTTTTCGTATTTAAATAAAAAACGATTATGCAATTGATGAAATACGTAGTGTTATAATGGAAGTAAAATAAAGGTACAAAACACCACACTCCAACCAAAATCTCAAGAAGAATTTTTATTAAGTTCATCTCACGCAGTGTACCCCACAAGAGATATTCTATTTACGACCGTACAGATGTGCGTCGACGCTGGAAGGCGGTCTAGGTATCACGGTTTTCTGTCGACAACACTGACATTGGATTCATGTTGGAGCCGGACACTGCATGATATAAAAAATGTTGTACATACGGTAACTACGGAGCGTAACCGGCACAAATTCTTGAAAACGCGGTTGCGATGGTCATAAAACATGGAGCATTCCAGGAACTCTTGATAGGTCAGAAGACTGTGATAATGTTGTCGTTTGTTGTTTACCACCATTATGCCGAACGAAATTCAAGCTGCCCAAATATTTTTAGTGCTGAATTTCGCGGAACAATTTGATCCAATTCGTTTCGTCCGACGAGTATAACGCATACAAACGTTATCCAACTGTCCACTTGAGTAGAATTTGCATCGGAAATTCTGCAGGTATTATCTGTTATTTAGAAAACAATGCAGAACACTAAAATGGGCTACGAGTTGATTTCGTTTCTCGTCTCGTAAGGTGGTAATCACATGCTAATCGGTGGTTGATGGTGGCCTGGAAAGCTCGCTCATTCGAACAGAATTTTACGAGCAATATTTCACTGAAATGTACAGCCAACTCTCACTAATATTCACCGCTTCGAAAACCCATATTTTGGGTGAAATTAATTTAGTTTTACTTTGGTGAGTGGTGCACAACTTTGACCAATCAAGGCTAGCCTTGATGCGAGACAGTCAATCAGCCACTCCCGGCCAATCATGTACGAGTTAGGCTGATTCGCCGCCTTAGCGTATGGTTTTGTGTGGTTTGGTGACTTCGGTGTTGTGGCATTGTAGTGTACATTGCTTGTCATTCTGGTTGACTTATGAGTAACTATTGGTACTGTGCAACCCTTGTTACCAGGTTCCGGCTCATAAGCCTTGCTTCAGTTTTCTATCCATGGAGATTTTCGTGAACCCTTACCTTCGTAAAATCACTTTCCGCGGCTATCCGACGACAAGTTCCATGTCTAGAAAACAGGAGGAAAGCCTGCACATCACCAATAAGTATCCGCGGATCAATCGCAGTGATAGGTACTGTGTACTACAGTTTAGAATTCCATCTACCAGTAATGTACAACTTCCACGACCAGAAGGCATTCAATTCCGTCTCGTGGTGTAATTCGCCTGGTCACCTCGCTATGTGCGACACGGTGGAGTAGCAAAAAAGACCAAAACTCCCTCCTAGATGCTGCACTTCGATACACGAGTGCCATTAAAAGAAACGACTGGGTCATGTCTGACAATGTCTCCAACTACTGATGTCTCTTGTCTCGAGGTCCGCGCCCAGGGAAACGGCAATGACCAGCGCGGTTGAGTTTGTTGGTAACGGCTTTCACACTTCGCTTCCAAGTCCCTGGCTCTTTTCCACCCCTCGCATGGTAGTGTAGAAAGAGCCTTTCGAGGAAGTCGGTCGACTGACATACGAAGGACGTGGCCAAACCAGTGCAGCTTATGGAGTGTGGTCAGTGTGGTCTATCGTGGGTTAGTTATTTCTTCCGAAAACCATCCGACCTACATTGCATTGCTGATCCAGTATCTTCAACTGGCTTAATTCGAAGACATCGATGGTCAAACACTTAGTCTCTTGACGTGCTCAGCACGCAGAGGCCAGGTTTCTGACCCGTATACTAACATAGAGCTCACCGCAGCATTGGTTTTCGTGTAGCGTCTGTGTTGTCTTTTTGAAGTTAGGAATAACTCTCGACATGCCCCATTTTGCAGATGCCTTCTCTTCGTTGCGTATCGCACCAATCAGCGGTTCTCGGTCCTCCTTGGAGCGAGGTGAACTCAGACCGTCCGGTCCTGGTGCCTTTTCACTTTTCAGTACGGATATTTCGTACTTCATCTCTTCTTCCGACGGGCGAATAAAGTTTACATCCCATTCTCTCTTATGCACTATCCCCACAGACTGTGTTGTAGAAGGCTGTCTAAAATTCTCTCCAAAGTGTTCGGCCCATCTTTGGGAGTGAATTATTGAGCCGCCTTCTTCATTCACCGTCTCACTGACTGCCTGGTTTCCTGGAGTCAGTCGATCCTATGACTTGATACAGGGCACGGCTCTTCCCGATAGTGAAAGCCTTCCACATCCTCTGATCTTTAGACATCCACGAGAGCTCTCGGTCTTTCCTTAAACTGTTCTTTATTGGTCATTCTCGGTATTTGGGTGCGCCGTCTTACTCGTTGCTTGCTGGTACGGATTTCCTGGCACCAGTCCTGAATAACGATCTCGACGACATTCAGTGGTCATGTGGTCGTATCGGAGAGGTCGGACAGACTGCACTGAACACCGCTAGCGTAGCTCCTTTCACATTTTGCCACGCTTGAATCACATGCTTACTACCAATACGGTATTGACTTATTTTAGAGGGATGGATACTGTTTAGCTATAAAAGTTCTTCAAAGGTACTGGGTAGACATGCACGCGCCATGGCTTAATCGAAATCAAGTTGCTTTTCCCCAGAAGGAACGGCGATCTTGAATTGTAGCTCTTCCACGGTGGCTGATGGCCACGTGACCCGACTGGGTCCATGGTTGGTTTGCAGTTTGTGGCCTCCAGGTTACATGGTGCGGTATGGTTCCAATGAGCTCACAGGAGGTGCCTTTTGAGCAGCACCGGCCTCGTTGCTATTTCAACCGTATTGAATAATGCGCCAACTGCCACGGTCTACCGTGGTGCGGTTTTTAGCGCTGAACTTTTCTGACCCCTCCTTCCTTTGGAGATGGCAGCATCGCTGTTTTCATGAATACAGACATGCTGGAGGAATCACCTTACAGCTTTCCTAATCCTGTCGCAGGTGACGGCACGACTTTACCGCCAGACGGCCTCGTATCACAATTGCTCGTAGTACGATGTCTCGCCACTCTTAATCTGATTGCTCCCTTTCGGCCTTTTTGGTATGGTTGCACCTCGTGGAACGAAGTTCCAACCAGTCTAGCCTGCGGGATGATTGCAGCACTGAAACCCAACTACCACGTCAAGGTGGAAACTTAAGGTCATAAACAGCTTCCCCATAGCCATTGGTATCTGACAGGGATGTCCGCTCTCTCCAATTTCGTTTATTTTTGTCATTGATGAGGTAACGTGGGAAAATCCCTGAATGTCTTCAAAACTCCGGTGTTCAAACCTCCTATTGAGAACCTTGTGTACCTGGAAAAGCTTATCAGTCATCCGGCTTTCCGGTATGTTTTTCGTGCCCCGCAAAGTGCAATGTTCTGTCTTCGTGTGTTGAAAAAGTGAAGCTGGGGTTTGCGGATCTCTACACATATCTCGGAAGTTGTGTAATGGTTAGTTGTAGCGGTTAGCCCTAGTCTCTAGTGAACAGAACAAATTACTAATGTAAGCCAGATACAAAGTCACAAGGAGAAAAATCCAAGTAAATCTTGACTCAGTTCAAAATAGGAGATTCCGTATTCCGTTGAACCACCACACCAAAAAAGGTTCTATCTTCCTGGTATTCCAGATCTCCGGTGATAGAAATAGAAATCCACAAGTGTGAATATATTAGTCCAGTGTTTGTAGCTAAAATGTTTGTTCACGTTTAGTGTTAGCAGCAGTCAAATATAGCCAACCGGCGGTCACAACAACAGTCACTCAGCAAAAGTCTCAAAATCACGTTGGACCCCAACAAGCGGGCGGTAGCGGTTGTATTTCAGTAAAACAAACTTTTGTACAGCGATGTGATTAATAATTATGGGGAAAAAGAAGATGATACTGAGCATGAAAAAGAGCAGTTTACAAGTGCTACAGTTGTATAGCCCCGATGGTGGTGTGACAGACGAAGTGGACGCACGAATTTTTAGGACCATAATTGCGTTTGCCAATTCGCGCTGTCTGGTTTCAATCCTTCAAACTGTGCAAATCTGTGATCAGAGCTATCTTACACTGCTGCTGTTAGTCTTGTCCTTCATATAGTGGATCTCTGAGTCTTGCTTCGAATTTACGTAGGTGAAACATTGTTATCGAATTTCCATCTATGTTACATGAGCAATTCTTCCACAGTTTTGACGCGACCATTCTGGCTGGTCCTACTCGAAGGAAGAAACCTGAAGTGAGTTTCCTCTTGTTAGATGTCCCCTTTGCTGTACATCCCTCACTCTACCGGGATCTAAATTCCGACCGTCTGACATATGAGACGAGCACCTTATTAATGCTCCAACGTTTCACTTTGACGCCTAAAATATCGAACTTCAACAGAAGAAAACGTTAGTTCTTAAGCGGTTTGTGTGGCGGCTTGACTGGTGGTTCATTGATTACCTCAGCTGTTGCCTGTCTGGAGCCCTCGGTCGCCGCGAGCGCATGGAATCTGACAGAGAATTCTTCTAACATCTTAGCAGTAGTCACACCAGTCTCTTCTACACAGTTAAGCAAGTGCTGGGAACAAATGTTCAACAAGTTGTAGCACTGCCTACAGACAATGTTGTCATTACATTGTTGGAGTTGATTTCTACCCTCATCCGTTCAACGGTATCCATACTAAATTTTCCGGTTACGTTTCAGTTCCGATTCCCTCACATCATTTGAAGCATCGGATGAAATCAAAGAAGCATGATCGAACGGGGAAGAAAAAGACGCATCGAAAACACAGCTCCTCCGTTTGTTCCATTCCAAATACCTAAATGATCCATTGACTAGTCCTCCGGTAGTGAATACGAATGGACAGATGGCACAAAGCCTACCAACCCTACCAGTGAGCATGCGGAACCTCCGAAGGTTTGTGTCTAACCTTCCTCGTCACCCTTTTAGAGTTCAACTTGGATAAGTGAGGTTCACTCCGTAGAGGATTTCGTGGACCTGTTTTCTTCCTCGCATGAGAAAAAGCCTAATCGTTCGAGTCAACCAGATCAAGTAAGTGTTTCCTTAATTCGGATAATTCACCTGGCAGGCAAATCAGTCCATAACTGAACTCAATCCACACTGGAGGGATGGAGGGACGGGTCTACCTGAAAATGTTACTGACAAAACGAAACAGGTTCCTAAATCAGTTTTGACGAAAGACAACGAAGCTTGGTTATTTAAGTCTTACAAGCGTTGCCTGGACCAAGCCAGAGATGAAGGCATCGATGTTGAAGAGCTACTGCTTCAGCGTTGGGACAGGGCGACTGTGGACGATATGCTGGCCGCGTTTGCTCACGGTATCCATCGTCGCTCCACGGGACATGTGTAAGATACCTTGATTCGAATTTCTCTTGTTTTATCACTTTGCTCTGTCCATCTCCCTACCCACCTGTATCTCCAGTCGTTCTCAGCACAGAGGTTAGCAACAACATACAGTTTTCGAACGTTTGGATCCACATCGTTCATTTTAGATGCGTAGCACATTCGTACACGATTCCCTTAGTCAATCCGAACCAAACTGAAAGCACTACACCTTCTACAATTCTAGTAACTTTATACACCCCGTAGTTTGTTCTACTTCCTTCCAAATCCTTGCTCCTATATGTGACAGATAAGTACGATTACGAGTACTGCCATCCGGTTGCGTTTGCGGATGGTTTACACCGCAATCTACGGATAAGCGATAACGAGTCTCCAGGACTAATGGCGTTCAAACGACAGTACTAGACCATGTTACGTTTCATACATCAGAATAAGCTAACTAGCATAAACTGGCCTCAATTTTTTGAAATGTCCTACAAGTTGTCAACACTAGGCAGGTAAGTACTGTGCGGTCTGATTGTTACGTCTGTCCGTAGCGCAACGCGATACAACTGCTGGCGAGCTTCTAGTGAACATTAGCTGAATGAGGTGATTTTATTAGTATAAAACGACCCTCACATCATACCGATTTGATTCATGAAGACAGGTTCCTTTACTTGGAGGTAGCCATCCTAACCGGCTCTTTTTATCACCTCCGATGCTCATCATTGACAGCATGACATCAGTGTTCAACATCGATGCTTCACTGCCGTACAACCATGATTTATTTGAAAGCCTTATTGTAAAGAAAAGAATAACGGTGGACGGGGAGGAGATTTAATGCTAGCTTACCACTATCATTCCCTGGTGCCTACACCTCCAGACATCCACTCAGGCAATCTGGACAGAAACTGACAACAAGAACGCCACTGACATCGGTTGACAGCCATATCTTGTAGTGTCTCCAACCAGCCACAGTGAGGATCACGCGGTCCCCATCCTTATACATGGGGTTCATTCACGATTCCCTTTTGGTATTCCTGGCTCCGTTGCTCCTCACCCGTGTGAAGGCGCACCTATTTTGATCCGCCTGTCTTGCGCACGGTTGGGTGGGCTTATCGTGAAGTGAAAATAAGCCATATTTATCAACCCGAATTTTTTGCGTATTATTTATTGCACCTTTTACGTACTTACGGTTTTGGCTCAAATGCGGCCCTAAATGAAAAAAATTAGGGATTTATTTGGTAGTCATATTCCGGTGTATACAGATTCTAGCTCCACTTGTCATCGGTCTGATCGTTTGCGAAGATTGACTCGTTGGTGCACACCGTCAAATAGTGGCTACTTGCAGTGATAGGGAGTCGTGTGGAATTCGGTGGAGTACAAATGGGCGATTTGTCGGAGCGTAGCCGACACATTCATTCGATTGGAAAATGCTCGAAACCGGTTGAGGGGTCGTCGCTTAAGAAAATTTCACAGAACGTTCTGTTTTCTAAACTCATACTTAAATAAACTACATCTGGACACGGCGCGTCACGCTTAGGTCGAACCGAAGCATGTGAAGCGCACGTAGAATGACAGGCTTGAAAGCTTCCCCACTGTATGATGGTGTTGACCACGGTCCTGAATTGGTGACGTTTTCGGCGAATTTGTTCGACTACTTTATTCATGTTACCCATTCATCTACTGTGTAAGCCTCCAGCCTCATTGAGGTTTTACGCACCCTTAGATTAATCCTATGCATATAAGGGTCCAGTCCACTTGACCGTACGCTACGTTTTAAGTTGCCGGTAACAACCTTGGGACAATTTTCGCACATGTTAATACAAATTTCATTGACTTTTTAGCTATCGCTCGGTCTTATCGTCTGGATTGCTGTACATTGCTTCTGGAACAAATTTGAATATACCACTGCATTCTTATTTTCATCACATCCCAGCTGAAGGCCATACCACTATCAAACTTTGTTTTGTTCAGTTTCACTCACCTACGTGTTGGTATACCATTTTTTTCGCCTAATACCTCTGTTTATACTTCCAGGACTCCCCGAGCTCCTCCGCGATGGAAGAAGTCGCGGCCGAACGATTTCGGGAAGCCTGAATCTAGCAGTACAGAACTGGAGTCCGACCATCAGACAATCCAGAACACAGGTTTGTGCTGTTTGTTAAACCTCGCTACTCGTCAAAGAATGGTTATATGCGTTTCACTGCTGTCATGTCATTTTGTTTTGAGTACTTTAGAGGTTCGTCTTTTTGGGTTTTTATCAACCCCATTTAATATCTATGGTTCTTTTGTGAGGTGTGATTTGTTTGGAAAAAGATATTTGTGTTGCCTCAGTATTAAATTATCAACTTTCATTGACCACATTGCTCGGCGTCCCTTTTTGGTTGCTTTTCAGCTGTTCCGAAGGCTACCTCACGTGCTGAGGATAGCTCAGCCGTTTCCACTTCAGATACCACTGAAACTGAGGAGCGTTTTGTTACTACAGATGATGTTAATGCGATGGCCGCTAAAGTCCTCAAAGCCGAACTGACCGGAGATCCAGTAGGTCGATTGGTTTGTGAGGCCTTGGCTTGATTTTATATGTATGAGAACATTGTCCTATGACTTCCTATAATTCTGGTGACGGTGAACAAGTCAAACTTGCTACAGAATCACCAATTACAATCGAAAACTAAGAAGTGAATTAAATTCTAATGTCGACCTGCATTTTATTTTGCAGACAAACAAAGACATCATCTACTCATCATCATGCTTATCTTTTACCCATTATTCACCAGTCTTACCAGCGATTTCTTGCCTTAGTTCGATGGAATGCCCTATGTTGCACTGATTCGAATCGCTTTCTTTGGTGCACTGGAGGTCAGTATCTCATACTCGTCATCTGCACTAGCAAGGGCCACGTCAACGGTGTTATCCATATGGACGTTGAGAGACTGTTATTTTGCCCTCATGTGCGCACCATCAGAGCTACTTTTGACAAACTAATAGGGCTTCAACGTTGCCGACAAATACCAGTAATGTAGTGTTATTGATATCCGGGAATCAGAGACCAACCACCACTGTTTAGGTTTTCTCATTGCTCACAGAGCGCGATACTTCTCCCCACATTCATCTGAAAGCCTCTGAAGGTCATGGGTGGCACCATGTTTTAGGTTGGCCGGAGCAGATAGACTCAGTAGGTGCAGTCCCTATAACATGTTGCTTGTCGTATCCTCGGAGCTGAGTATATTTGCAAATAGTCTCGTTGTGTACTTAATCCGCTCATTGAGATGTAGTTCGTTAGTGGCAATCATCTGTGTGTCGTCACATGCATATAAGTTTGTCCTCTGTATTTACGAGGGAGTTATCTAAAACGGTACACTCGACTTTTTCTTCCACAAGACAAAAGTCAAAAAGTTGAAAGCGAACTTGCAGAAACTTCGTGAAGCTCATCGCCGAGGAATCAAGATTAGAATGCATGTCCTTCGTAAGCGTTCCGTAACCAACGATCCACCCGTGGCTAGCGACAAACCCATTGTGATTCCTCTCACGCAAATGGACGACCGTGGTATGGAGAGACCGCTTCGAATAGTTAGTCCCTCCTCATCCTCCTTCGACCAGCGAAAGTAAGCTTTTGATAGCCCGTTGCTTTCGGATTGACTATATCAACTGAGTTACGTATTTTCAGTTTTTACCGTAAAAGAACCGTGTAGTCACGTGCTCTCGGACTTGAGTCAAACTTTACTATCATCTAAACTGGAGCCGTTTCAACTAAAACATCATAACCTCTCACTAAAATGTTTGAACCTATCGTTGAAATTTAGATTCAGTTTTTATCTACACAATAATCAGTTCCGTAGAATGCAGATCTGAAACAAGTAAGCGCGGTCGGGACTTGGACTTTTTGTCGGTACAATTGGGCAAGGGCGTTTGTGTTTTGTTGATGGTAGTAACACGATTGCCACATACAGCAATGGCGTGTGGGCGATGCTCAGACCAGCTACTTTAGCCGGATGTTTGTGGTGACCCTCTTGTGACCTAGATTAGGTGGCCTTGTTCATATCAGTTTGAGACAAGGTAACCAATCGGACAGCGAAAAACACATAACCAAAACCTAATTCCTATGTACACTTTTCTCAGAGATATGCATGTAGACCGTGTGTGCACATGATGGTAGGCTGTATGTTTGTACTGATTTGCTTGGTATCCTGCCATGTACTTCACTTCAGCTCGGTAATGAAGTTACACTGCGTCCTCGTCACTTTTTCAACTTATGGCCCTTTGTATGCGCTGAACGATTTCGAGGTAATCCATTTGTAAGGTGCCAAAGCAATGAATGCAAAGTATCCGGTTCCATCCCGACCTCGATAGATTGCAAGTATGCCTTGGAAGTGTGAATTCCAGAGGATCTTAGTATTTACTTCGGTCGATCTTTCCAACCCAGGTTGCAGTGTGCATCTCCATCCTGCTACCTAATCACGCTTTCCCAGTGAGGATTGCATGGTAGCATGTCAACACAACGCTACCAGCCACACTTTGTAGCGTGAAATCTATGCACATTGGTCACTTGGTCGGTGGTGCCACCCGAGCTCAAAAGCTCTGTCTGCTTAGTTTTCCTTTATGAAACGGCTTTCGGAGTCTCATCTGTCAGCTGATCGTCCGAGTGAGTGGAATCCAAGATCACCCTCTCAGCACTGGAACGCATCTAGCTAGTGTTTTTAGGTAAACGAGCCCAGTTTACTTCGTTGCTCGGAGGATTAATGAATACTGGACGGTGCTGGTTAAATTTTGCTTTTTACCCCCATTAGGTTAGTGTTTTGTTAGCATGCCATCTCAAACAACCTCTACGCATTTTTCCGCAAGTAGTATAATTTTGAAAGGGAGAAAATGTCAGTCCGGATGCATAGCTAGCAGATTTAAGTTATCTCACCTGACTGGAAGGCCATCACTTTCGGCTCAGTAGGGCCACCAAAATCTGACTCCCAGTTATGAAATGCTTCGGTTTAATCTATTTCTAAATGAATGTACGAATGCTATGTTCGGTGTGTGATATATACTTATCTACTGAGGAACGTAGTAGGCCCTTCTGGACCGAAATTGAGCAGTTCAACATCGCCACGAACCAGGTTTTACCTGTTTTGAAGATGATGATATAGTCAAATAGTGTGTAATACCAGTTCTGATCACAAACTAGGCCTTGAGTTTGAACTCAGCGTACACTCCGGTGTATGGTTTTCGTAAATAAAGGCGCAGCCAGGTAGGTTCAAAAATTCCGACGTGAGACTAGTATTGCCACATTACGTGTAATTTTTCCCAGCTAGAACATACGGCTGTATTTTTCGAGAAGCTCTTCTGCGGTCTCTCGATTCCTAGAACGAATTGCGCACACTCACACCGACCCACCGAATAGCTGCCACATCAAAACGCATTACCGATCTTACCTCCATTGTTGATCAAACTTCCGCAACCAAATTACGAATCTCGGCGAACGAGCCAGCCACAAAATATAATTTTAAGTTCAGTCGGAACTGGTGGTCAGCAACGTGCCTTATACCGGAGGAACTACGTTTCCGTGATTCATTTTGAATTTTCCACTCGATGGTTTACGAAGTGTTTTCTCGTCCAGTGAATTTTTAAATGACTCGTGATCAATTTGGTGGCAACTGACCACTGTTACCTGATCATCCTGGTGGTAGGTTATCTGTATGAGTGTGAATGGTGCATGTTGGACATGACTCAGGACAAAACTTGTCATCCAAATTTTTCCGCTGATGAATTCAGCTGCTTCGATAGCCCTCCTCTTCCAGGAACCGCACAATAGTGGTGTGAGCGAGTAATGACGTGTTTTGTCACGTGTCTAAGTTCCTGTTTTCAAGACTCAAAACTGGGTTAGTGCTCCTAACCTGTCATCTACCTGTAGCCTTCTTTCGGTTTCGTCGTACTTACTGAGAGTTAACCGAATTAGTAGCGGTCGTAGCTGTTATGCAAATTGTACGCAGTGTTTAGTTGAGAATGATGTAGTGGATTTCTTCTGCTTGGACAACTTAATTCAGACTGTCAACCACTGTGTTTTACAGAAGCGTTTGAACCTCTGCCGGTTCATCATTCATTGTAGACCCTACGTCACATTTCTCTGCATGTGAGTAGTTTTTGTGTGGTCTCTTCGTAGTTTGATCCGAAGTTCTCTCGTCGTCTTATCGGATGTACCTTCCAGCTCCCTGTATTTCAGTGAGTCACTAACTCATTATTTGCGCAGTTTTGACTCTCCATGACTGTTCAGGTATACCCATTAAAAAAGGGAGAAGTCACTGCTTGTTCAGTTAGATAACGGACTAGTTTGAATCTGAAAGTGTGGCTTTATTAGCTTTTGCCTGGTGATTCCTGGTTTAACTAAAGTTGTTTCTCGAACGTAAGCTGACTTCGTGCTATGTACTCGCTGGTTGGCAAGTTTGGAGCAGATGATCCAACGTGTTAATGTGAATGAATGATTGAAGCGCCCAACTAACTCTCGGTGCCTAGCTATCATGTCAATTGAAGGAAACATGAGCGCTGAAATACTGCTAGGTTTCCCAAGCCTAGACAGAAGAAACTGAAATGCCGGGATTAGATTCGAACCACGAACCTTCCGGCGAGTAGTTTTGTGCCTTGACCAACATAAGGAGATGTTTTTGTCAGCAATTTTATCATAGAACATCTTTATTTATTTGCCCACATTCCACTTCTAGGACAAAATCCTTCCGCACACACGATGCCAGCGGCAAACGAGTCGCCTACTTACCTGCAGACTCGGCTGAAACGAGCGTGAGAGACATGGTGCGCGAAGAACAGTCTCGGTCTTCTTATGATGTGGACATGGAATTTACGCGACTCGCATCGAAGGTAGTGCTGACCTTACAAATTCACTCGCCTCTAGAAAGATCAATTTTTTCCTTCATCCCTAACCTATTGCTCTTGGATACTCGAGATGAATGCTAATTTTCTCAAGCTTACTCGCGGAAATCCACCCTGTCTAATTAGTAAAGCGAAAACTCTATCGGTCTAACCATTTAAGTGACCGCTTCACTCATATCAGTGGTCCACGAATGGCACTGTAACTGCTGAGATTTTTCTTCAATGGGGACTCCAGAGTGACAAAACAAAAGTCAACATAACCCAGCCAGACGGCGACCGCATATCCAGTTCGTGACCGATCCCATTAATGTTACTTACCGCGTCATACTGAGGTCGAACCAAGCTATTTCGTTTCAGTAGTGCATTTGGATGCGGTTACCTTACAAATCGGGTTATGAAGGGCAACTTTGAAGGTGTGGTTAAAACAGAGGGATGCTGATAGTGGTTGAGCAATGGGGGGTGCTGACTTAAAGACGAAAGGTTTTAGTGTTGGAAGCAGCAGTCTTATGCTGGTAGCCTTACGTAGAAGAGGGATTCAGGCCTTGATATACGGCGACTCGGCACTCGACTGATTAAACGAATCATGATTCCCACTTTGATGAAAACGATTGTGGATCGGCCTCGACTGTTTCGCTACCTACATGATAAGCTACCCCATTTTACATCATATTCTAACCACCCTGGTAGATTTTCTTACCTTTTCGGACTACAGACCATGTTTTTCCGTTTATTGTGTACTGAAATAATCGAACCGTTCCATTTTGCAGGCTGGTAGGAAAGTTGACGATGAATACGACGACGCCTTTGTCCCTAAAAGAAGTTTCACTGATCGGGATGTTGCTCGGATCAAGCAAGACGCAGTGGCAGGTACGTGAAGTTAAGCCTCGTTCTTGGGTCGATATCTTTGCAAGTGTAGTTTTTACTTTGTGCACGGTCGGAAAGGTTCGTTGTAGCGAACAGTGTTCGTTTTATTTGCTTCTTGTGTTTCATTCTGCCGAACTGTAGGCGTTCTGTCGCTCTCTATGCCGGGCTAATAGTTAGTTGCTTTTTTGTACTATAGCAAAAACCCGGTAACTGAGCAGACGCTAATCAAAAACACATCCTTCATGTGCACCCATGTACGTTTATGCGGCTTCTAGGTTTGTCACGACGCATTCTGTGGCCATACATTTCCTGCGGACGGTTCTTCGATTGACCCAAACCACGGGCTGACAAAGTTATTTGAATTTTGCGACTCGTGTTTATGTCTTATGCAGGCTGACCTGGTCTATACTCTCTCCTCCAGTCATTTGTTGAGTGTCTTTGTCGCTTGACTTTTCAGTTTTAAGATACTCTGCAGGTTGTTGCAGTGCTGTTTTTAAAGCTAGCCTCTTCCTCTCCTGAATGACTGCTATCTCCTAGTTTGATTGGCATCCACTGTGGGATGATTGTCTAGTAGCTACTGACCTAGACTTCGCGTGGTTTACCGTTCCGCTGCCCACAGTGCGACCGTTCACTTTAGCTCCGTACGACCCGGTGATCATTTTTTTTCTGCTCGTGAGTATAGTTCGGCTATCCCCGAGTTCGCCCTACACATTGAGGCTCATGTTTTGATTTCCGGACTATCTGATGTAAGTTCTCGGTTTTCGGACACCTTGTGTATATGTGCAGTTTGTTCCTTGAGGTACTTCGGCAAACGATTGATCGTCCTCATGTGGGCATAGGAAAAATCACACTGAATTTTCAAGTGGGACAAGCCTAAAGTCCCCACACGAAATTGCAGATCCAAAATAATTTTTTGGCTGAACATCGTCCTTAGTGGCTTGTGTGATCATTGGGGCTGAGACTCCATTCCACCTAAGCGGCCAAACCGCATGACATTGGCTTCATGCAAACTCCTCGTGCTGTTTCGTTGTTGGGTGAACGAAAACTCAGGCTGATCTCGCCGGCATGTCATGTGATATGCTTGAATCTGAGGAAGTTTTGTACACCATACATCGGAGAAAATGTTACCAGTGGCATAAATTTGTAATTCATCTGAAGCGTACTTTCCCCAGTGTCGTCTTTCCTACACACACTTCAATCACTTCAATCATCATTCTTCTGGTTCATGTCCTTTTCAGCCTACAAGCGTCGCGCGTTTGCTGAAGCGTCCTGCACCACCTGCCTCGAACGCGTTCCAAAGCATTTGGTCATTAGCGTGGGTGAAAAAGTGAGTGAGCAGTTTATCGCTGCATTCCTCCAGTCGTTCGTTCCACTTTTGTGTAAGTTAGTACATGTCGTGAAACTGTAAAGTCGAAACGTTCTCCGGTTGGACGCACCTAAAAATGCACAGAAAAAGACATCTTTTGTAGCTTCGCGTCTCTTTCTCTAGTTACTCATCCATCGGCCTCATGCAACACCTAATATGATTTGAGGTTACTTTTAACCTTGAGGTTAATGTTTTTGTGACTACTGTAGCCTCCAAATGAAGGATTCATCGAAAGCCAACACAGCAGTCCCATTCTGCGTTTGTTAATAGCCGAACTAAGAATCAGAATGCTAGTAAACGGGTGCCGCTATAAGGACATGTGTCTATGCACTTTGAACTCCCGTCTGGAAGACCGTTAAACAGATTGTGTGGTTCTTTAGGAAAAAAATTTAAAAAAAAATAAATTTCCGTTTTAACGGCCTAGATCAAATTCTCATTGGTCCCTCGAAATCGGTCAGTGGTTGCCATCAACAAAGGCTTGAGAGAGCCTTTTGTATCACAGTAATGTACATAAGGTTTCTCGGCAGCGTAGAGATTCTTGTGGCGCGGTACTCGTTCCATTCCATAATGTGTTCTGGACGGGTTGTAATTATAGTGTTCCGAATGACAGCTTACTGGACCCATATAAATGAATGGGCCAAGGTTTTCATTGTCTGTTGCTCAAGCACTGATCATTTCGTAAATCACAGGAATAATCTTGCGGATTTTAGAGAGAACTGAAGTCTTTTGTCGCTTCACATTGGGTCCTTTTTTATAATGTGTTATGTGGCAGTGATGTATCGATGTCAACGCTGATATTACTTCCTGCGCTGATGTGCACCAATCCATCTTATTGTTTTCTGAAATTTACGTGGAATGGATTATTTGTGATTGGTTGTGTTGTTTCTAGAATACTAAAGATCCGGCTCAGTTGCATCTACCCAACTCATTTGATTGCACTAGTGTCCAGCCACCCATCACTCCTATTTTAATTTGTCCCTGGCAAATCGCTCTTGATTAGCTGTCTGGAATGACTGCATATCCATTTCACATTTGTCCATTTCTCTTTGGACAGGCTTTTCTTTCCCTCCCTGGGCACGTAAGCCTGGTGCCTGGTCATTGTCTGCTCACTCCATACGAGCATATTGGCTCCACTACTCGCTTGGAGGAGCGCACATTGGACGAATTGGCAAACTTCAAGCATCAACTAGTTGCCATGTTCAAACGCCACTTGGACGACTCTGGATGTGTCTTCATCGAGATTGCTGCCCGACCGGATAGTGTGCGGGCCCACACGCAGATAGAATGTATCCCAGTCCCACCGGATATCTTCACTTCCCTCCCAGCATACTTCAAAGTGAGTGGGAGCAAGTCCCGTTTTGGATACCTCACACTTTTCGACTGCACACATTTTCCAACCGTTTCAGCCTTCGCGAAATATCGTATTGTTAATCCTTTGGATCAGCGTCTTGATGGTAGTTTTCACTTTCTATCATGTCCTCGTACATCCGGAATATTTACTTATAGGTTTGTGTTACCCCTCGAGGAACCCCAGCGCAGTGGATTTTTTCAGGTAGCCAAATTCCCAACTTCTTTTTGAGTTCAATTCGTTGTTTCCAGGTGCAGGTACAGAATAGTGTTATGAGCTAAAGACGGCAACCGAGCGTCGTAATTCCTGAGTGTTACCAGGGCATTTCAATAATATTTTAATAGCTTCTTTGGTGTAGTAGACCCTCGTTATACTGTCACTGTCCATATTCGAACCCTTGTTAATCGTCCGCTGGGTTTATCTTTTGATGTGCTATCATGTTTGTCGTTTACCACAGATCGTTTGCTTCATCTCTTACTATCGTGACAGCAGTTATGTCTCGTTGGTGCATAGATTTTCGTACTACACCGAATAATCGGATCGATTCCGTCACACTTACTTGCCTATATTTGTCGGAATGTGTGGCCTGACCCTGACTGGTCTGGTGGTTTGCAGTAGTCGCTTAAAGGGGTAACATGAGGTCTTATTGTCGCTTTTGATATCAGCGCCGGAAACAAAAAAAATATTTTCAATGTACCCAGTGGTCTCTTTTACGAATAGGTTTGTTTTCGTAAGTCAGTGAGAACTCGGTAATTTCCTCCATTGTCAAAGCTGGCAACTAGCGAGAAAGATTGAGTCTTTGACGAACATCAAGGGCACGCGGAAGATGCAGAGGGTATGTGGGAGATATGCTTCATTGGCGTAACTACATGTCGATTAACGTCTACGAGAGCAAGCACTGTTTTATACTTTGAACTCTTGTTGGTGAAAGGCTCGCAGGGATTGGCCATGACTTCATAATGTGGAATTCGAATGGTCACTATCCGTTGTAACTGTGGGGTAGCTGGTCATTCAGGACACTGATGGAACTTATTCCATCGCGCTTGATATTCAGATTATTTCAGTGGGAGTCCCAAGGAATAAAACAAAGGAGACTGAATGCAAGTGGGCTATATTAGGGATAGCCCAATGGATGAAAAGAGCGCTGCGGCTCAGTTAACTATAACAGAGAGAAAATGGAATCTCAGTGAAATATTACAGATGGTTGAGTGGGTCTGACTATCCTGACACCTCCCATTTCGAAATGTTTTCAGATATTTTCAGATGTGGAGTCACCGGCATTGGTTTCAATGGTTTTGGGTTACGAATGGACGCCGTGTAGGTGTACATATGGATTTGACTGGGGGGGGTGTCTATTTGCACAGGGGCACGTGTGTGGATGGTAACTCAAAAGCATCCAACAATATGTCCAGAGGAATTGAGTTATCCCATGTAGTTGGTTCAGCGTGTCCAGGGCGAAGTTGATTCGCATGACGGTGGCAGCTTGTACGTCAACTTCTTATATGACGTTACCCATACGGGATTTAATCTAACCCAAATTCCATTTGTCTACACCGCCGCGATAGTCGTTAGCCAAAACCGAATCACCACGCTTATAGGTGGTGTGAACCGTACCGTGATGGCGGTTGAACTGTGGCTCCATATGTGTGTTCCATGTTTGTGAATGCGACGGAGGTGGGCGTACCACATCAATGGGTAAAAGGAATTTACGTCCGAAAGGCGCTTCCTCGGGAGATTTGTGGTTTTGCAACTTTGAGTTAGGTGTCCTACGGTAACTTAACAAGAAGGCTTCAGTAATCTCCGCTGACGTTCCCTCCCCTGGTTTGGAAGTTTCAACAAACCGTTCGACTTGATCGTCAGATCGAAGTTGGAACGGCAGCGATCTCACGTGGTAAATGTCATTTTGCGTGCAAAACAAGGCGAATTTGACCGAGATAAATGCACTGTCATTATCTCAAATCATGGGTCCTGTCTTACCGGAGCGACTGAAGATGCGAGTGAGCAGCAAGATTGTGAAGTGACAAGTGATATAATCCATCGTGATTATCTCCGGCCATGTACTCTAAGTATCAAGCATGATAAGATAATGCCGATTGTTTATTGTTCCCGCAGAATCAATATGTAGACGCGACCAAGGGTTAGTCGGTACAGGTCAAGAAAATAACTTGGTCGTCTGCGGCGATTTTGCAGAACACTGACATTTTGAATAGGACTACACAAGTATTTCTAGCTATTTGTCGAAACTCGGTCAGTATAAATAACTTCGCGCCAATGCTTTCATGCGGTTGATACCTGGGTGTACAAAATGAAACTGATTTAGTACTGCAGCCTGCAGTTTGGCTGGTATTGTGACACGTTCATAAAATAGGAAACACCTACAGATTTCAGATAGAGAAATCGCGTGCCACTGAAGATGGCCAGCGTGTTCGGTGATGGTGTTTAACTTGTTGGAGCGGGAACGGATTCACTTCTGGTTTCACCACTGTCTATTTTTGGAAGCAACTGGAAGGGCTCGAATGGATGCAGCGAGTACGGTTCAAACTTTCAGTTTGATAGAATTGGAATCCACAACTGTCTCTTCTGCTGGCTGTCGTGATTCCATCAGTCTTGATAAGACATCTGCATGGCCAGTAGTATGCGTGGAGTGAGCGTTGATTGAAAAAATCGTAGCCAGAGTGAATAGTCGCCGTTGGAGACGATTTGCCGTGTGTACTGGAACGCCTTTCTTCGAATCGACAAGTGATTTTTGATCGGTTAGGAGTGTTAAATGGCGATCGTATGCCGTTTTGTGGAATTTATTGATGGCAAACGATTGCAACTGCTTCTTCTTCTGTTTGACTGTAATTGCGTTCGGCTGGTGTTAAGGATCGGGCTGCACAGACGATTGTTTCTCCAGTTTCATCAGGAAATCTGTGGGAAATGGCTGCTCTGACTCAATGGTTGGATGCACCTGACGCTAGAATGGTATCTTCAGATGGGTTGTAATGGTTAACCAACAGGTCTGACGATAGGAGTGATTTAATTCTGTCGAAAGCTGTGTGACAATGAGGTGACCGATTCCACGGGACATCCTTTTTAAAGAGATGGTTGAGTGGNTCCGGCCATGTACTCTAAGTATCAAGCATGATAAGATAATGCCGATTGTTTATTGTTCCCGCAGAATCAATATGTAGACGCGACCAAGGGTTAGTCGGTACAGGTCAAGAAAATAACTTGGTCGTCTGCGGCGATTTTGCAGAACACTGACATTTTGAATAGGACTACACAAGTATTTCTAGCTATTTGTCGAAACTCGGTCAGTATAAATAACTTCGCGCCAATGCTTTCATGCGGTTGATACCTGGGTGTACAAAATGAAACTGATTTAGTACTGCAGCCTGCAGTTTGGCTGGTATTGTGACACGTTCATAAAATAGGAAACACCTACAGATTTCAGATAGAGAAATCGCGTGCCACTGAAGATGGCCAGCGTGTTCGGTGATGGTGTTTAACTTGTTGGAGCGGGAACGGATTCACTTCTGGTTTCACCACTGTCTATTTTTGGAAGCAACTGGAAGGGCTCGAATGGATGCAGCGAGTACGGTTCAAACTTTCAGTTTGATAGAATTGGAATCCACAACTGTCTCTTCTGCTGGCTGTCGTGATTCCATCAGTCTTGATAAGACATCTGCATGGCCAGTAGTATGCGTGGAGTGAGCGTTGATTGAAAAAATCGTAGCCAGAGTGAATAGTCGCCGTTGGAGACGATTTGCCGTGTGTACTGGAACGCCTTTCTTCGAATCGACAAGTGATTTTTGATCGGTTAGGAGTGTTAAATGGCGATCGTATGCCGTTTTGTGGAATTTATTGATGGCAAACGATTGCAACTGCTTCTTCTTCTGTTTGACTGTAATTGCGTTCGGCTGGTGTTAAGGATCGGGCTGCACAGACGATTGTTTCTCCAGTTTCATCAGGAAATCTGTGGGAAATGGCTGCTCTGACTCAATGGTTGGATGCACCTGACGCTAGAATGGTATCTTCAGATGGGTTGTAATGGTTAACCAACAGGTCTGACGGTAGGAGTGATTTAATTCTGTCGAAAGCTGTGTGACAATGAGGTGACCGATTCCACGGGACATCCTTTTTAAAGAGATGGTTGAGTGGACCACGAACACGGTACGTATCTTGTAGAAAATTACTATACTGGCTTAACAACCCGAGGAAAGATCGTTGTGAAGGCACATTCCTCGATGTTGGCACTCTATGAATTCCATCGGTATTGTCCGGGTGAGGACGATGGCCAGATTTATCGAAAATAAAACCCAAATATTTGATAGACGTAAGAAAGAATGCACATTTTTCTGTTCGACCAGCTGATTGCTTGTTTCTTACTTCCTGGACAAATCTGAAAGTCTGATCTATACGGGAATGTATCAAACGAACAATGAGCCCTCCAAATAGTGGGTCACGTGATTCTGTTACCCAGCTACTTCTAGGCTACCGCTNAAAGTCTGATCTATACGGGAATGTATCAAACGAACAATGAGCCCTCCAAATAGTGGGTCACGTGATTCTGTTACCCAGCTACTTCTAGTCTGGGCTTCCGCTCTTCGTTCATTCTTGAATCTAGTATTAGGTGGCCTGACAGACTATGACCTGATACACTGGCTTTCCTTTTCCTCAGGTGAAAGTTCTACTTACCGTTCAGTAGGAACTCCACTGCCCTTCCGTTTAAGGAAGAAGCTGATGTAAGTCGGCCCTGAGGTGCGCGGACGAACATGGTGAAAACCGAGTTAATTGACTACCGCCGGAAAAAATACGAATACTGATAACTCCCAAGTTTTGTATGATCGGTACAAAACAGTCTTTCGAGGCCAGACAACAACAGCCATTCCTTTAGAGTGTATATCCGGATTGTGTAAGTGTACGCACTGATCCATCCCTTCCTAAACTAAATCAGAGATAATGATGTTTTCTCCTTGAACTTGCGTAACAGTCGAGCACTGTTGGGTCGAACGAATAAGCAGGCAGCTCATTCTGTAGGACGCATTGGCATGGCTTCAACGGAACTCATGACACGGAATATGTGCTGCCGCCGTGAATTAACACAGTTCGTTCATCACGTAAACCTTCAAGAAACTGGTTCCAGATATACTTATTAGATCGGTCACGACGTCATGATATCGGTTACGTTTTCCATTGCGTCAAGAAAATGGTTGATTTAGGAATCATGTGGAATCAATTCATGTCTTGTCCAGTTGCGCTTTAGACTGATGTATCGAAGCAGCGTGACTGTTATCAATGTACACGGGTCGCAGTCATGCTCAATGGAGGACGAAAAATGTAAGCCTTACACAAATTTGTATTTTTTTTCCGCCACTTCCAAAAATAACAACTTCCCTTTGCTGAGAGACTTCACTGCTTGTATCGATCTAGGTTCACTCTGTCCGGACGTTCTCGGACGCCGTAATACGAAGAGTGTGAACACTAACAGTGGTTGACTTCTGAGACTGTCCTATACGTCTAAATTTCATCATCACCACCCGGGTTAGCTTCATCACCACTATGTGGACACCGAAGTATCACTTTTACGTGCCCGATGACACTGTCGTTCTCTATCAAGATGCTCGGAATGTTATGTATCATATGATTGCTGCAAAGAGCGGACTAGGAGAATAGGTTGTTGACTTGTCCAAACGACGTTCGACGTTCAGCTCCATATGCCACGCTATTGCAGCGAACGGTAAAAGTTTTAGGTGAAACGTCTGGAATCGTCTGGGTTCGGAAATCAGGTTGTTGCATCAACATTAACCGAACTATACTCTGACAGACTTCAGCCCATCTATCCCGCAGGCAACAGCGTGGTACAAGTTGAAGTCCGGTGATGACGGCTGAACTTGTCGGACAACCTCTTTCCAGACCCTTTGATTCATTTTGCGACACAAAAGCATACCGCCATGGTAACCATTAAAAATAAAATAAAAATAATAAAATTGTTATGCTTATTCACAATATTCATTTTAGGTGCTGAAGTTCTCATTGCTGAAGGTGATTCCTATGTTCCTTCTCGTCTGAACAGCGAAGTATCTAAGGCACCAAGTCACCAAAATCCCGCATAACTGGACGTGTGTTTGCTTGGAATTTGGATTATATCCCGAAAATAAAATAGCTCGGATTAGCTGAGGCGTAAAATTTCCGACCGGTCGGTCCATGGTTCGAACACAGTCTGGGTACATGGACTGCTCCACTTTACGCCTGGGCTACCTGACGATATCTAAGCTTCGTGCTTCTTTTTTGGGGTATGACAGCTAGGAACCGAAAGGATGTTACAGCTGTTATTTATTTATGCCACAACTAAGAGTGACCACTCAGCTGTGAGTTTAACAGCTGGCGTATTTTACCGCCGACCATCAGATAATTCCAATTGGTTTAAATATATAAGACGTCCTCAGTTCTATTTCGTCAAATTAATCGTATTGTGTGATGATCATTATGTCCAGCAAATCAACTTTGAATTCCCATCAAACACGCTACCGATACGCTATTCAGCACGTCCAGTTTAGTGGCACCTCAACCTTCTCCATAATGGTTATGTAACTGGCGTCTGAGCCTTATTCGTAAGTTTCCTGTGTTTTTTCTTCAGAAGGCATTATCTGAAATGGGATCAGAATGGGATCAGAATCGCCGCGTGATTACCCTCAAACCAACTGGTCTCGGTGCCCGAGGTTCCGTACCCCCTAAATTCGCTTATGTTGCTGTCGAATTTGGGGTGTCAGATGGTGGGCTGGCCCGCGTCATTGACAACGGTGTGGATGTCCCTTCCTATTTTGGCCGAGTACGTGAATGCTTCTTACAGCTGATTTCTTTGCTAAGTCCGAGTTCTCTAACTCCTTAGACGATTAGACATTTTGATAACGTTCGAAATCTGGTCCTATCGGATATTAGTATGACCTGATGGAGACTTCGCAGACGTGCCCCGCTTAGTCATATCAACCACTATTCCTGTCGAATTACGTGAACAGTACAGTAACTTGGGAGTTGCATGAATTTAGGCCGAGTTCACTAGTCGAATCAGATAGGATCACGTGAGTAGGCTGTAGTGCTCCAAGCCTAGCTCACTGACTGGGTTTTAATGAGTTTCAAGCAGACTTATGTTACCGTTCCCCATCATATAGGTGTGTGCTGACGCTTGAAGGTTGCAACAAGCTACTTGGCGAACCATCGCTTTGTTATCGTTTTTATAACGGCATGAGACTGAAATGTTGTTGAACTCGGCATTGGGCTTGATGAAATTGAAAAAATTCACGATCTTCTGTTGTACACAATTCGGTACGTGAGCGGTGATAATTGCAAGGATGGTGCCTCCACTTGAGGCTGCTTGAATCATCATTTACCAATGGCTCTTTGAGCTAATACTACTTTTGGCACTTTGACCCGTGGAAGATGGTACCGGTGGTGGGCACACAAGTGACTTTCAGCAACCTAATGAGTAATGTGTTATGTCTTTACAATGTATTGCGGTATCTCGAATATCTTACCAATTAAAACACGAGGCGGGTTTGTGCAACACACCATCATCGTCATACACTAGGGGTTCAGACGGATTCAGTTGAATGTTTAAATGAGTGCATTTCCCGAATTGAGTCTCGTTTGGGTATAAGTAGAACCTAAGAGTGACGGAAACCCGGGACCGCACCTGGCTGATGAAGCTCAAGAAAGGCAAATCCGGTCAGTGGGGCTGTCGAAGTGTAGTGTATTAATTCGACTACCTTAAAAAGAACATTGTTTCAAAACAAATGGATGTTTCACCACGACAAGTTGAAATTTTCGTTCCGCCTGTTGATCAGCACTTTTGTCTTGTATCCGTTGTCCATCTGCCACCTTCATTTTTCCTAGGAAATTGTCGGAGGAATACTGGAAAAGGATTCCTCCTTTTGGCGTAAGCCGAAACCGGAATCTTTTGATCGTTTGCGCAAGAAGGTGATTGAATTTGAGACTATGTGGCACCCGTTCAACAAATGGGCAGAACGCGACCCGAGAAATCGACTGCTTGTTGAAGAGTCTAACGCTCCACCAACTCCAGAAGGTCCTGAACTCCCACCTGGCCTGATGGACTGACAACAGGTGGACTGTACATAGTCATTTTAATAAAACTTTCAGTTTTTATCGTCTTGTGTGCGATCAGTCTTCACTGGTTTGTCTGCATTTTGGTCTTTCATCTCGTCAGTAGAGCTTCGTATGCTGCACACTCATATCGGGATTGGAGCGATTTTCCGGCTGTATACTTCACCTAATCTTCTCGTTGATGATTTCGTGTTAACCTGTCAAACCGATCAGGATTTGCTTTCAAGTTATAGTTTTCGGAGTCCCGGTTATTTCACTCTTCCATCGTGTTACTCTCTGTTTGAGGTTATCGTAGCAGGAAGCGCAGGAGTAATGCCCCCATCTGGGTAACTGTCTTCCACTGGAATTAAACAACTGAATACCAATCGAGATACACACTGAATGCCACACAAACGAGCCATTGAGTTTGTCAGCTTCGACCGGTAACCCGAAACGTCGCGATACTCATATTTTTTCCCTAATTATATGGTGGTTCAGTATCGTCTCAAGATAATGATCTTATTACTCCATCGTGGCCACCCCATTGGGTTATTACCCGACAGTCGTAGCTACGGGCGAAGTTTTCATCCATGATCTACTTAACTACTGTCATCCTTCAGCGACTTTATTAGCACTCTGTTGAAGTTCAGTTCGTCTCCATCAGCTGTAATTTCAAAGCAGTTGCCGGAGGTTGTCACTCCTGTTCATTATTCGTTTGTTTCTTTGGGCTGAGCATCTGACTAAGGCGCGTCGACCGGCAAGCATTCATCGCTTGACCTTGGTTGTGTTGGATGATATACAGCTTTTCAGCATTCAAGTCGCCGTCAGTTAGTAAATTTACCTCGGTGGCACCGTGAGCAAGAATAAGTGTATCAGAAAGTTAAAAAACGATTATGGATTTGCCTAATATGACGCGTCAGTCTCCGCAAAAAGCTTTAGGAGTGCACTCATTTGCAACAGGTTGCTCAGCATATGGGAAGTGAGTAGCATCAGGTGAACTCCGATCACATCTTGTGCTCGTCATAGGATATTCGGGATTCTTCATAGAAGAGGCTCGTAAGGCCATTTCACCTAATTAACAATCACGTAAAAAGTCTAAGTGAACTGGAGAACAATGCAACCCACTCGAATCGCCTACTGGACATCGTTGCGGAGCTTAGTGCAGTGGTACCGGATTCAATGAATTCGGTCGGTGCACTACGTGCGGCTCAAATTGTAGACAATATGAGAGGATACTCGTGTCAAATAAGAGTCCTATGCATTTGTTTTGTAAACTTGTCAACTCATGACTCTTGCTTTATCGGAGACTATGAAGTTAAAATTTTGTAATAGACAGCTTTATTAATAACACTTGTAAGACGGGGAAAGGAGACAAATCTGCATCCGTGTATACCAAAAGACGAGAGAGAGTGGAATGGAATTTTTATTGGCCTGCATGCCAAGAATCCAGGGTTAATGGAGTGGACTTTACGGTGCAAAAACTCGCCTGCCTTCTACACCTCCAGGGGGCGTAAAGTTATTGTGCACCTGCATATATCCATATACCTAATCTTTAGACGAAAGTCGTCTGTCTTCATTTAGGCGCACTCCACTAAGGATAACTCACTCATCGGTTGTCTGCCCGTTTAGCACATCTTCCCGTATTCACAGCCGTAAGCCCATTCTTCAGGCTCATACACCGCTTGTGACAGGCGAAAGGGCGCATGCTACGGTCCTTCTAGTTACACATGCACACAACATTTTGAAGTTACGCTACTTGACAAGGTAGTTCACACCAACGTCAGTGCCCACGTTCCGAATATCTCTATCCTACTCGATCTGCTCGGTGGTGGCTGTCGTTTCATTTTCCGTCTTCGCCACTTGTCGGTTCCGGGTTGTTTTATTGGCCTGACGTGATCCTCGGCCGGACAAAAACGCTAAAAATCTGGAACAAGACAGGACACAAGCCGCAAGTACGAGCGTCTGGTTACCGGCCACTACAGACCTGGCAGTATATATGAGGGACAAAAACTTACTACTGTAGTTGGATGTGCATTGCAGCACCTTGCTGCGTGGTTTTATATGTCCACTACCCCTCTGGTAGCGCAGCTGCTTCGCACATTATGGCGGTTCTCAGGTTGGTGGTTAATTGAGAAAGTGAACAAAGAGTCATTGTCATTTTCTGCCTGTCTGCTGATTTTGACTTATCCCGATTGTGTCATCTATCTGATAACGCTGTGAAATGAAAGTCTAGGGAGATCATTCTTCCGTCTGATGAATAGTGCATGGGTTTGCTTGCAGATCCTACTGCGTCGCCCTTAGCAAACATCGATGTGCAAAGCTTTGGCCAGCTGTATCCTTGTTAGGGACCAACCACACGAAGTTCGACTCGTCAGTCAAACTACAAACACCAGCTTCCTACCTTGCCTCCGGGACTAGAGAATACAAATAAAATTAAAAAAGCCATATTATACTTCCCATAATGGCATTCATATCTGACCCCCACTGGATCACTCCATTCTACACTAGGCGTTGCTTGGAGCTGACAGCAGTGACTTGATGACCAGTTATCGTTCGGTCTCCCTCCAAAAATGTGAAGTGTTCAGTCCACATTTAAGCGGATTTGTATCCCCATCATTCCTTTCCTGTCTGCTGCCCATTCTCACAAAAGCCGCCATCTTCTCAATAAAGTCCCACTCACACAACAAATCCCTTCACACCCTTGGCCATCCACTCCCGTTCTCTTTACGCCTACGTTGCGACTGCGAACAAAGTGCTCACCTGGCTCCAGCTGTTTTGGAAACGAATTGGTTCTAATCAGATACAAACACTCCTCTGACTTAGCCATCTTAGTGTTCGGATGAACTACCATTTGGTCCCATAAACAAAAACTGAAAAACAAAATTTGCGGTACCCACTCGGTCCTACCCGTAAGCATTGTCTCAACCTTCCGATGGACTTCTACGCCAGCCTCCTCTCCAACAACGATCCTCAGTGGTGTAAGTCAGCAGACCACAGAGCTCGCAAAAAATGTTGTCTTTCAGTGTAGACCACTACCCAGGTAAGGGATATTTGCATCTCAACATATGAGACTGACTAGACGGGCCGATGAAGTAGCGTCGGCGGTGTTTGCAGCGCTGTGTGGTTCATACAGCTTCTGTTTGCGTATGGATCCACGACTTCAGTTTGCCAACCAATCAACAAAGTTGCTAGTCTGATCCTTTCATGGGTAACGTCCGTGTCCTGTGAACCGGTGAAAGGGGCGTATCTTGCTCCGGCAGGCCGAATTCATCTAACCACTTTGGTGAACGGCAAACCGGTCTTAATTTGCTGTACAGTGACAGGTGACTGCCGAATCTGAAGAACATGTATATGGGAGTTGGTCACGTTGATTAGTAGAAGGTACACGTGCAGGTACTAACTAATCTATTAACCTCTGAGAACATTTGAGAGTTGAAACAAAAGTTACCTGTCTTCCACAGCGTGGTACCCTCCTTGCAGTGGCCAGGTTGATGATACTTCGATTTCGGTGTGCGTGCAACAATGTGCCCAAAAACCCATTTGATGTCATACGTCATCATGTGGTAAACCATACAAACAAAGTAGTGGTCTTCCCTAATCTATCCTCGATCACCGTGACAAGAGCGCACGAGCCATTAACTGTGCCGGAGGCCCCCTTGTGTGTGTGCAACAAGCTGTCAATATGATGGGTATGACTCCTCAGGCGTCTACTTTAGTTCACAAGACAGTTATTGCCAAAGCACACCGCATAGTTTCCTGCAGCCATTGCTTGAACCTAGGAAACTTCAACATGAAAATCTTTCGAGACAGTTGCAGTTTTGACAAGATTCGTCCGAGAGTACTTAATGTCTACCTTGGGTGCGGACTTCAAATTTTTAACGATTTCCGACGGCTTAGTGTCATGTTTCCGTAAAGACCGTGAGGAATTCTCTTGAGAAGTTCACTTCTTCACGTGCGTTCTCCTGCACTGCATTTGAAAGCATTCTAAGGCCACCCAAAAAATAATTGCTTGACCTTTCTCCGTCCAAACTCAAAATGGAGCAGCCACACGGAAAAGGTGTTCTATAGTTGCAGCAGGCTCCGGCCAGACAAAGCAAGGAAGTCAATCACGGCTAGTAAACATGTTTGTTTTTTAAGATGGTCAGCGCACGCTGTATTGAGTGCATGGCAGGGTTTTACCTTCACCGGTATACTGACTCGTTCATGGTGACATAGGTGGAATGAGGGGTTCATGGGCAACGTGAGCAGACAGCACGATCGGTGGCCAGGGCTTTGCAATTTTGGCAAAAGCTAAACGGATTGGCTTGGTCTTTTGGGCGCGTATAACACGCTTGGACGGGAAGAGTAGGGACATTGGGAACTACATGCAGGTCATTTTACTTGATATGGCAGTTGCGGAACCCTGATCACAAAGTCCTACTGGAGTCACTGAACAGTCTCGTATGCGATCATAATAAATATATAATTGGCTTATTTCCCAACTTGTAGGGGGGAATGACAGTTGAGGCAGTCAGGGTTACCATGGTAGTTAGAGTTGGCCAAAGAATTGTGACAACTTAAGACTAGTGGGATTAAAGTATATTCCTTGACGGACTGAGGGCACGGCGTGCTTCATTGCTGTCATTAAAACTGGGCACTAAGTCGGTCGTGTCTACATTGTGTGTCACTATCCGATTTCAGAAGCAATAACCGATATTAGGTGGGCATAGTAGGCATGCGGTCGATGCTAACGGGTATGTGCATATATGAATATAGAGGACAAAAATCAGCTAAATTCTGCGCAAACTACGAAGGTTGATGCACCTGGGAAAAATAAAAAATAAATTTGAGGAAAACGTGAGCTGCCTTGTGGTGTTGCGTGTTCGGATGATGAACTAACCGTAGAAAGACACTATTACTGTCCAAAGAAGAGCGCGGAGGCCCTGCAGAACGAGTTTCATTTGGAGGTGTCATACCGTGCGTATTTGGTGAGCCACTGTTAGCAATTGTTGCCCTGCTGTAAACGGTGTAGTAGGATGATTCATATGATGATCCATAGTGGGATTTCCCACGATATTTGCCACAATCAGGGCAAGCTTAAATCAGCGGTTTAAGCGTTCTATAAATTTCGCTTCTATATCAG